ATTTGAGAAACATTCACAAGTTATTTCCACTGCTAGTATAAACACAAGGACCAAATTTTCTACTGGTGTAAGTGAGCACAGCTTTCAGTACTAGCGAATCTGGCCCATTATTTCCTTTTTGTTTTCAGGAGTAAAACTCATACCTCTAAGTCCTCTAATAATTTAGGAGTCAGTAAGTTCATATACGATTATTTGACTCCTCCCACAATTTTAATTTCCAACAAGACAATAATACAGACAAATTGGGCTGTTCACCCTAAAGATACCCACCAATTGGTGAAAATTTTCTTCTATATGTAAACCACAGACGAGCACTTATATCCAACAATAATTTAGATTTGTCTGGAATTAAAAAACAAAGCCATATTAAACTACTAACTCCTAACTGCAAAGATCATTTGGCATTAACAAAACATATAGGATATACAGGAGATGTCTATTTACTTTCAGATACAAAAATAACGTATCACTTTTAATATTCAGAGCACTTTATATATACAAACTAAACAAAGTCTATTGGGAAAGTGTGAAGCAATTATTAGCCATCAAAGGTTGAGAGTAGCATTTCTGTTTTGAATAGCTACGATAAACTTGAACCAGCTACCACTATGCAGAACTATTCCTTCTGAACAAAATTACACACAGGACAAGAAACTTGGAGAATTTCTACTAACAGGGACCAATTTTGGTCTGAAGGAGGAAGGATGAGCCTAAGTGCATAGTCCTTTCTTCCTCCACTGAACCCTCTTCTGCATATAAAGGGACAAGACTTGCAGGGAGAAAAAGTGAAATGTCCACTTTCCATGGTATCTTCTCCCTCACACTTGCAAGGATTTCACCACCTTAGAGAATGTTAACCCTGAATACCGCAGGGATAGGTGGGAGCATGTCAATTTTTACTATTTAATTCTTAAAACCACCTTAACTTTCAACTGAGAATATCATGCTTTAAGAAATTCAAACATCCAGCATAGTGGATTTGTTGTTGTCTGAACTACTGTACAGACTTAATTTTCTGGTCTCCTGATGCAATGAATCAGCAATTAACAGTATTTACTTCATATTTTAAAATGCAATTTATCACTTCAGCATATGCTTCTGATTTACAAAATTACAAAGGATTTGTCTGATATTTGCTGCATCACCACGTCCAGTTTTAAAATGAGCTACAGTAGATACTCAGCTGCCTGCTCTTTTCTTATAGGAGAAACTTTAAAGGGTATTGTCAGGACTTTACTTTTTTTGGTGGGAAGATTCTGTGTAAAAAATGTTTTCTCCGTAACTGATAGATAATATCACAGATATTAAACATTCTTAAAAAGTCAATTATTTATTCCATGACATTTGATGACTAGAAATAACCCACCTAAAGTGAGACTAATCTGCAGGATAAGCGTGCCCTGTTTGCAGAAACTGTGACAGATGCTGTACTCCCTACTTCGGTAAACCTCCTGCCAGCTAATTTCATATTAGGGTGACCACCACTGTATACAGTTGGTCTGCTTTTTAGAAGTGAGTTTATTTTTGCTCTCAGAGATTTATGTAGTGATAATGTTATGAACACTGAGAAAATGTTGTGGCATATGAACTACGAAAGTTATAGCTGGATTTTCAGTATAAACATACCTGTCTTAAGGTGGTATTGCCGTCCCAAGATCCACACTGACCCATCTGTTTCTGGAAATTCTTCTAGGTATTCCGATAAGACAGTGGTCTGGTTTTCATACTTGGATAAAACTGAACAGGGACATAGAAAGTTAAAACTCCATTTTGCTCCCTTTGTTCTTTTTGGAGCACTTGGAGTTCTTATACTGCAGCTAGCTCCAACCAGTGATCTAGTCCAGGGTTTTGGGGTTTTCTGACCAATACTTCATTCTGGCAGCAGCATTTACCCTGTTTTCCCTCAGCAATATGCACTGCCATTAAAATGGACAGTGTTCTTCGCAATTTTATATATTAACTCTCCAGAGGCTCTGGGAGACACTATGGCTGGCACCTGGACCCTAGAGCCCAGGGAAGAAATCCTGGTGCCATAGAAGTATATGGGAGTTTTTGCCACTGACTTCAATGAGGTTAGGCTTTCACCCAAAGTCTAGATGAACAATTTAAGTCCCAGTCCTGGACTAAACACAGTTAACTTTAAGTACATGAACAGTTCTACTCATTTCAATGTCACTATTTTTGGTGGGAGGTTATGGAAATGAAGGAATAATTCTTCAGCTGTAAAGCTAAGCAATTGTTTTTATTTGCTTTGATTATTTTTTCTTTCAAATGACATATTTAAGAAATACACAATGAACTGATGTTTAAAAATTAAATCATATATATACACATGCTAAATATGTTTAAGTTGCATGTAATATTTATATTACTAAAGATTTATAGGCTCTACTCAGGATTACCCATTTTGCTAGGCACTGTACAAACACAGAAAAAGATACAGTCCCGGTCCCAATGAGTTTACAATCTATGACCCAATCTTGAAAACACTTCTGCATGCAAGTAATCACAATGAATTTAAAAGGACTCCTCACATGTGTAAAGTTAATCATGTGTCTTTCTTTCCTAATTGCCATTAATAGCAACTATACACAACCACGTCTCTTGCTGTAAAATAATTTAATGTGCTTACACAATAGACTACAAAATACACTGGCTTAGAACAAAATGTCTACAGAAAAGATAAAGTTGACATTCTGGCCAACATTTTAGAACACTTAGTCCCATTTTAACTATTAGATAAATTAGGTCCAAAATGTAGGCTCTTTGTTGAAGAAAAAAGATTTTACCGCAACTAATAATAAATTTTTTCAAAATGTCAAACAAAAGTTTTATACTATTTAAACATTTCTGAAAGTACTGAAATGTAAACAGCACCATTTGTTTAAGTGCCTGAAAATCAGAAGTCAGAACTGACTATACTCAGAAAGTGAAACTGACCAAGTTTTACTGTTCAAGGTAAGCAGAGTGAACATTAAACAGCATAAAGAGTAAAAAATATTGACTGTTTTAAATTAATTTTAATAATAACATACTTAAGGAAACATGCAGTTTTAAAAATATTATACTTTAGAATACCCTAGAGAGTTTCACATAAACCCTCCTCAGATTAGGGTATATTATCCAGAAAATTATCATTCAGGCATCAGCTATAATATTTTTCTATTCAACTTATATAAATGATTGCTAGTTACTGTAAAACAGTGAACTTTAACTATAAGTAGTGTGTGTACACACACACACACACCCCTGCTTCTACTGGAGCCAATGGGAAAAATCCAGGGCCATAATGAAGGATTCACTTAATACCAAGACATTTACATGCATAATCAAAATGATTTCTGATATCATAATCTATTGAATGCATATTGTATTGACACATTTTATTTATTCCATCCAGCTGGCAGTCACAACTGTCAAGGGATCAAGCTTCACTGCTGCAGAGAAGTTGATGTCAGCACTATGCTAAAAAGCTTGAATTAATATCCATGCAACAGTAGAGCAGACTTTTACACTATAAATCCGGGCCTAGATCCTGCAATTTAATAAGTGTAGTGACAGGATTTAGGTGAATTACATGCTTTGAATACTTCTAAATTTACCCAACAAACATATCTAAATATGACAACTGTACAAGTGGATTTACTCAGCTCTATTTTTTGTCCTAAGACTTCTATTAAGTGGACACCAACACCTAGTTTAGGCTTCATATTTAGGTTCTGTAAAGAAGTTTCACAAATATGTAATACTGTACTGCATAACATAAAGTTATGCAGTAACTTTATGCAGTAACAAAACACAAAGTTTTGAATTTAACCATTCTACTGTAAGATTTTCAGTAAAGAACATCAGAAATGGAAATGTGAAACTGACAAGTGTGTTTTCATTGGTCCCCTGACTGAACTGCAAAAAGCAAACAGCATGGATGGAAACAAAATCAGCTCTGCACTTTTTAAGATGTTCTTAGTAACTGATCTAAGGAAACTCCGTGGTGTTTTTAATCAACGTTATTTTCATCTGGCTGGACAACCAAGTTTGAGATGAGTCAAGACCGCTCAAGGATACACTGAAACCTGTTACCCACAGCCACCTGGCCCAAGAGCTAATCAGAGTTCAGTCCCAGGCGACTTCCCCACGACCAGCTGCCCTGCATCAGGCAGGCACCTCAGGCCCTTTGGGGGCTGTCACTACTCGGTTTCGCTGCCTGGGTCGCTGCTGGGTTCACACAGATTTGCCGCTGGTCCTGGAGGTCCCAGCCTGAGGCTCTCGGAAGAGTCCTTACGGCAGGACTGACACACGGAGACTTCGCAACTCGCTTGTGTCACAGCGCCGGACCCGCACGGAACAGCGGCGGCGGCTGCCATCTTCCTCTAGCGCAGCGGGCCCGCCAACCGCCCCCCGCCCAACCCCGCCAGCCTCTGCGGCGCGCCCCGAGCGCCCCGCCCAGCCCGGGGAAGGCAGCCGGGGTCCCGGCCCAGCCGTGGCCGCCGGGCTCGAAGCTCGGCGGGCGGAGGATCGGGGCCCGGCGCTGCCCTCCCCGGGAGCTCGCCCGGCGGGCCGCGTCCCAGCACCGCGTCACCCCTGGGCTGTCACCGCCCGCGGCCCCCGCAACGCGCCCGGGCCTGGGGCTCCCGCCCGCGACCACCGCCCTGGGCCCGGATCTGAACCGCCCGCTACACCCGGCCCGCGCCCTAGGCCGGGCCCCCTCCCTGCTGTCCCGCCCGCCCCTGACTGCTCCCTTCCCGCCACTACCCCGCAGCGCCCCTTCCGCCGCCCAGCGAATCCCCCTCACTCGACCCCGCCGCGGCTCCCCCCGTCTCCCCTCACCGGACTCCATCCTCCCGCTGTCACCATCCTCCCAGCCGACACACAACAAGGCGGCGGCCGCGGAGCACGCTGGGAGTTGTAGTTCTGCGGTGGGGGGGGACACTCAGCCCCAGCGCCTTCCGGGCCGGCCTGCCTCTCTGATTGGCTGCCTGGAGGGGGGAGGCGGTGGCGCGTCGTGGCTCCGCCCCCTTTCCTGAGGGGACGGGCAGAGCGCCTGCCGGGCGTCGGCATGGAGGGCTCCGTGTCCAGTGTGGAGATCTGTAACCTGGCCTACACGGGGCAGCTGGAGTTGCTGCAGGACCGGCTGAGGGAGGACCGCGGCCTGGCTACCCGTAGCGACCAGGTCAGGCGGAGCGGGGTGTTCCGGGCCGCAGGGGCTCTCAGCTGGGCCGGCTCGTTGGAGGGAGGCAGGGGCCAGGGCTTGGGGGATGTGCCGCGTAGGGTGCCTTGCGCATGCTCAGTACGCCTGCTGAAGCCACTGCCGTTCGCCCTGCCCTGATTAGCCCTACGATTCCGCGGGCTGCTTTTGACAGGGGTGGCAAAGGGGGTGAATCGGGGCAGGGGGTGGCCCGGGTCTGAGCGGGGGGCGGAAATTGACCGGTCGGGGGGGAGGGGAGTCAAGCAGCTGGAGGCAGCATTAGTAGAGGGGCTCAAGGGCAAAATCAAGGCTTGGGGGGAGGCGCAGGAGTTAAGCTCGGGGTGAGGCGCTGGCAGGGGTGTCAGAGGGCAAAACCCGGCCCAGGCAGGGGCACAGGGGGTAACCGTTACCCCAGTGGGACTGAGACACCAATGTTTGCAAAAATGGTGGGGGGCAAAGGGACTTTCTTATTTCCCTTCTCACAGACAGTACCTCTCCGTATCGGCTTCCCAGGGCTGGGCTCAAAAAGGCATAGGCAGCCAGTTGCACATTCCTACGCAGAGCAGTTTACTACACTACAGGGGCCCTGTCAGTCTGTCTCAGCTGGAGACCTGGAGCCCTGCTCTCTCCCATGTATTTTCCCCCCGCTGCCTGCCCTGCCGTCTCCCCTCAGGGTCCTGTGCTAGGAGCTCAGCTGACCCATGCCCTGTGTGTTCCTGTTTGCAGGATCGCAGAACAGCGCTGCACTGGGCATGCTCAGCGGGACAGACGGACGTCGTGCATTTCTTGTTAGGCCTGGGCGTGCCTGTCAATGACAAGGACGACGTAAGTTCTGTACATTCCAAGAAACATTCTTCTCCGCTTTCAGGAGTATGTTCTGTGCTGCTGTGGGCTTGATGGACTGATTTTTTAGGAATCGAGAAGGAAGTGAGTAGAACTGGCCAGATCCCAAAGCTCATGCCTTTGTTACCGCTAGTATATCGGTTGAGTTTGATAATCTACATGCTCTCAGTGCTTAGTCCTGAGTCTTGCACCGTTTTTAAGAATGAACCACCTGGTGATTGCGGAAGGTTCCACAAGGAGACTGTCCCCCTAAGGATTTGGTAGCAAACTCATTTCCATGGATAGTAATTATAGATTACTATGAATACTGGGCTACTTGTTATGTAACTAAAATCTTATTCTGTTCTGCATAGATTTGTATGTTGCCTTCATTACTGTAATATCTGAGTGCCTTCCAGTAGTGCATTAAGTGACATGAATGACATCTGTCACAAATGATTTGTTCTGCCTCTCTCATCTCCTTTCTGGAAAGAGACCCGTTTGTGCAGTGTAGTGTGTGGTTTTTCTGAGTTCTTAGTAAAATGTACATGCTGCTTTGTGTTGGACAAGGTAGGCTGAAGAAGTGTAACTTCTCCAACAGACGGTGATAACGTTTGTGATGGTCCTAAGTTCTTGTGGGAGTTGGTTTCACAGTCTCGGACCAGCCCCCAAAGAAGCTCTGTCTGCTGCATAGGGGAGCATTATCCTTATGGTAGAAAGTGCCTGAGGAGCGGAATTGTCTACCACTGTCTTTATCCTGGAGTTTTAGGGGATCTTTTAGATATACTCGGCCCAGGCCTTTGAGCGCCTTGAAGGTATGGACTGAGATCTTGAACTTTGACTTGATATTCTACAGGAAGCAATCGTAGAGAGCAGAGGATAGGTTTGATGTGCTCAAGGTAGCCCATGTTGCTGACGGGATGGCGTTTTCCTTTAGTTGGTGGACAAACTGGAGTAGTAATGTCTATTACGAACAGTACTGCAAGAACAATAATGTTTTTAAAGAAGGGGAAGTTGTCAAGTTCTCTTCAGTGTTCTACTGTCTACTGAAAATAATCTTGCAGAAACTTTTTGAAGGCCTTTCTGCCACTCTTACTCGGACTAGTACCTTACTCTATAGTGGGCTTTTTCCTTGCAATTGTAGGGTTTAAACTATTTTTTCCTGCCTCTGTAGGCTAGCTGGACTCCTCTCCATATTGCAGCTTCAGCAGGCCATGATGAAATTGTGAAAGCTCTGATTGGAAAAGGTGCTCAGGTGAATGATGTTAATCAAAATGGCTGCACACCTCTGCATTATGCAGCCTCCAGAAATAGACAAGAGGTATGGTTTCATATGTAATCAGGTCTTTCTCTTCCTTTGTATTATCATTAAAATGGTCATTTATGTGATTTTTTTCCCCCCATTTCCGCACATGCTTAGATTGCAGTTATGCTGTTACAGAATAGAGCTGATCCTGACGCAACAGACCACTTTGAATCCACTCCATTACATAGAGCAGCAGCCAAAGGAAACCTAAAAATGATACAGATCCTGCTGCAGTACAAAGCGTCTGTGAATATGCAGGACTCTGAAGGGAACACACCTCTGTAAGCGATGTTACGTTTCTGTTCTGTTTTTTAATCTCTCTGAACTGAAAAGTCCATTACTTAAATGCAAGTATCCTCAAACTATCAGTTCCTTCAGAAAACTTTAGAGAAGGGTAACAAGATGTTTCCCTCATTTCCAGTCATCATGTTTTAATTTTTTTTTCAAATACATACTAGAGATTTTTCTACATGTTTCCTGATGAAGCCTAAAACCTAGTTACAGTAACAATCGCTCAGTAATTCAACTCTACTGGCCCTAGAGGGTAGACCAATGGTTCTCAACTTATTATGTGGCCCACAACTGTATGACCTGGGCTGCAGGGGCTAGGTGGCAGGGCAGCGGCAGCTCAGACCCCGACTCTGGATCCTGGAGCTTGCGGGGCTGGCCGGCTGCCCCAACCCCGGATGCCTGCCCCATCCCATACCGTGCGGCTCCTGCCCCGCCCTGTTGGGTAGCAGGGCAGCCCAGACCACTCTGCACTGGGCGGCCAGGAGCCTGGGACCCTGACACGCAGGCCAGCCTTTAGCACGCAGCTGAGCTGGGCCACAGCTGTGTGTTAATTGGGCCGCAGGTTGAGAACCGCTGCGGTAGACAATATGCCAGCAGTATAAATGCTAGACGAAGCTATTCTGTTAGTCTTCTGTAGGGCTGTTGATTAATCGCAGTTAACTCATGCGATTAACTCAAAAAAATTAATCGTGAATAATCGCAGTTTTAATTGCACTGTTAATAGAATATCAGTTGAAATGTATTACATATTTTTGGATCTTTTTCTACATTTTCAAATATATTGATTTCAATTACAACACAATACAAAGTGTATAGTGCTCACTTTATGTTATAATTTTTTATTACGAATATTTGTACTTTAAAAATGATAAAAAATAGTATTTTTCAATTCACCTCATACAAGTACTGTAGTTCAATCTCTTTATCATGAAAATACAACTTACAAATGTAGATTTTTTTTTTTTTTGGTTACATAACCACTCAAAAACTCAACAATGTAAAGCTTTAGAGCCTACAAGTCCACTTAGTCCTACTTCTTGTTCAGCCAATCGCTAAGACAGATAAGTTTGTGTACATTTACAGGAGATAATGCTGTCTGCTTCTTATTTACAATGTCACCTGAAAGTGAGAAAAGATGTTCGTTTGGCCCTTTTGTAGCTGGCATTGCAAGGTATTTACATGCTAGATATGCTAAACATACGTATCCCTCTTCATGCTTCAGCCACCATTCCAGAGGCCATACTTCCATGCTGACAACACTCAGTAAAAAAAATAATGCAATCATTACATTTATTGGGGGAGAATTGTAGGTTTCCTGCTGTTTTACGTGCATTCTGCCATATATTTCATTTTATAGCAGTTTCGGATGATGACCCAGCACATGTTCATTTTAAGAACACTTTTGCTGCAGATTTGACAAAATGCAAAGGAGGTACCCATGTGAAATTTCTAAAGACAGCTACAGCACTTGACCCAAGATTTAAGAATCTGAAGTCTAAATCTAAAACTGCAATTAATCACAATTAATTGTTTTGAGTTAATCACGTGAGTTAACTGCGATTAATTGACAACCCTACTATTAAGCAAACAAGCAGAAGTTAAAGTCCAGTATTTGAAATGCAAGTATCTAGGGCAATATCCATATGTAAACTCTTACAGTAAAATTTAAGTTGATGGCAAAACTAATATTTGACTAAAATATTAGTGAGGATTTCACTTCTATTGTTTAAGGAATAATTGCATTCTGTTTGCTATTGTTGTGCAATAATATCAGATTATATTTTTAAAAATTGCCAATTGGCCAATGACAGATAAAAATGGTATAGTTGCTAATATGTATTCTTTTCCCATTTTTGATGAGGGATTTTTGACCAAACGCAGGCATCTCAATGCATGTGGAGGCTATTTGTGTGTGTGTGTGTTGTATAATTGAGGTTCAGATATTGGACCCTTTTTGACTTCCCAAAGCTGGCTGGCTGTCTTGGCGGGGCAACAATCTAGTGTTGAAATGGTCTTGGGCTTGAGAAGACAGCAGCCTTGGGAAATACTCAAGCTGTCTAATGGCAGTGGAATGACTGGGAACAGGCATTGAAGTCTATGTTCAGGTTTGGAATTGTGTGCTCTTTCCCCATATTCCTTTACCTCCTACCCCTGTGAAACATCCATGACACTTCAATTGTGGCTATATATGAACTCCTTAGTGACTGGCACTTTAAACTTGGTAGATTTGGCAATAATCATGGGTTTCTCATTCTTGTTACAGCCATCTAGCCTGTGATGAAGAGAGAGTGGATGAGGCAAAGCTGTTGGTGTCCCATGGTGCAAGTATTTACATTGAGAATAAAGAAGAAAAGACCCCACTGAAAGTGTCAAAAGGTGGCCTGGGAACTGTACTTAAAAGATTGGTGGAAGGCTAGCAGTGTTGGATGAGTTATGCCTTGAATTCCATTCCTGATGCACACATTTAAGACTATTTTAATATTTATTAGCTTAATGGTAATGGCTTAAATGTTGTTATAATGTGCATATATAATGTATGTAGTGGTATATATCAGTACCCTTCAATTGTACCTCCAAGTGCACTTCTTCTAATTGCCTGTTAATTAAACCAGTCAGCACTTTTTAAGTATTTTTAGTATCCTGAAGTTTTGTTTCATGTAAAATTATTGTTACTCTTATAAATTGGAATTGGAAGAAACCTATTAGGTTCTCTTTTCTATTTTACAGGGCCTAGTGTGGGATTGTTTCTTTATAGTATATTGTGTTCAGACCTGTTGCTTGAGCCATTTAAAATTAGGTTTGCTTTGGAAGCCCATTCCACAGTCTGATATTACTTTTTGTTACAGCTGGCCAGAAAATGGAATTGAAGTTCTGTGAAAAACTTCCATAGAACTACAATGTTTTAGGTGTTTCCAAAACAAAATATGCTTCTTGGAATCCCTGGCTGCCCACCCAGATGAGTTACCGAGGAGCTGGGGATCCCAGGACATACAGGCTGCTGGCTTCTCAGCAGCCCACCTGATGGGGATCGCAGGGAGCTTATTTTGGGACCTCTGGAAGCCAAAATTCAAGGTCAGTTTGCCTGGCAGGTTGCTGAGGAGCGGAGACTTCAGAAAACAGTCCTAAAAAAAAAAAATTCGATTGGAAAATTTCCAATCAGTTCTGCATCTTGTAAAGGAGCTGGTGTTTTTTTCCTTTTTCCTTCTTGGTATTCATATTACACAGTTGTTATTTTCAGTTTAATCCAATTCGTATTTCACTTCAGACCACTCTAAATTATTCCTCTCCCTCCTTGTTATCTACACGACCATTTCAACTACTTCTAGAAGTAAATTCTATTTGCCACCCCTTTCATTTGTCAAACCCCCTTTTGGCATAGCTATGAATACTTCACTCTCAATACGTCCTTGTTGCCTGGTCTGTCTGGCCCTCTAGTCTGTGATGTTCCCTTCAGTTTGTCAAACACTTCCTGGTTCTGAGATGCTCAAACTGTGTCTTGTAATGTACATGCAGACTCGCTAATGCCCCCTAAGAGACACTGTCATCTAATTACATTGCTTTCTGCTGGCCCCGTATGTCTCACTGCAAGCTCCCATCTAATTTTACTGTCTGCTATCCTCATGTGCCTTTATTTAATATCCCAGCTTTTAAGAGGTGTTGTGCCCATTGAATATCTGTGTTCTGGATTTTTTCCTCAGATGTACTTGCTCAAATCTCTTTGCAGTTCCTTCTTTAGCTGTCAATGCTGGTGATTTGGTGCATCCCACTGTGTAATATTATCTCTGACATTTAATGTGCTGTTTACCTTTTTAATATCAATAGTCCAGGGCACCCTTTATTTACCAGCAGCAACTTCTGCTTCCTTAGTTATAGGAAGATAAAACTGTTGTATGACTGAAAGATGTGGTGTTCATGGGCATGTACTGGTTTTTGTACTAATAGTCTCGTAGGTGATAATTGTAACAAAAGTTCCAAGCAGTACCCTGAGGTTGCATCCCTATAGTGAGAGTTATTACTTTACTTAGCTTTCTTTGAATTTTCCCTGCTGTGATTATGTGGCTGTAAAGCACCTTCCAGCAGAAGCTCCTCCTAGTCCCATGAACACTTACGAAATAAAACTGGTCTTTCTGGAAACCAGTTCTTCTGGAAAGTCCTCCTCTTCCTCGGAGGACCACAGCAGTGCACATTCATAACTTGGAGCTGAACTCTTCTGGAATAGGAACACTTCTCCGAGGTCAAACTGTCACCATTCCATTAATTCCTTGTCTCTTTTGTTTGGGGGGGGCAGAGGGGCCTCGGACTTAGCTGTGAGCTAGCTTTGACTTGGATGAAAAGAAGCTTTCATGGCAAGACAATTTCCAGTAATTTCATATTCCTAAATATGAACTTTCAGAGTAGTGGGAGAGTAGCGTATCCACCTCACATTCTCCTTTCGTGGGGAGTCTGAGTTGCATAAAGTTATATTCATAGGCTATGAATAGATAGTACTTTTTACTGTGAATGAATTCCATGCTGTTCCCTCCCCTCTGGACCATTCTTTGTCAGAGGAGTAAACCAATGAAGTGATGTAGTCCTGTGGCCTTGTCTGCTAACCAAGCATTTGATGGCTTCTCCTTGGCAGTGTCCTATGTCTTACGTTTGTGCTGATGAACACTGAATGGGTAATAGAAAACCTTTTTACGTGACCAATACATTCAGTTTGTTGTTATTCCTGAACAGAGTTGACATTGCCCCTGCACTGCTTTAGGAAGCATATGATTAACATAATTCACTGATGGAAAAAGCATCTCAGAATTAGGGAAACACAGAATTGAGAACACAGGACTTAGCAGCAAGGAACTGTTTAAGAGATGACAGTGAGACTTCTTAGACACCCTTTCTCCCCCCCCCCCCCTTTTGGTGGATTTTTTTGTTTGTTTGTTTGTGTGGGGTTAGGGTGCTTACGTAACAAAATTCTCTTGTGAACAATATAATAAAGTTTTGTAATGGCAAACTTTATTAAACTTATATGTAACAAAAGAATCTGTATCATTAGCTAAATCACTTATGCACATAAGTCAAATAAAAGAGCAAATCAGTAAGCTGAAATATTGCCAGAGCTGAGATGTGGGAGAGAGAGACTGCATGTAAATAGAATCAGTCTATCCTTCAGTTACAAGGAAAAGTCACAAAACCAGATAATAAAACTTTCACAATGTGACTGCTTCTGTATAATGGACTAAAGGGATTGCAGTTTCCTACCAACAATTGTAAAGCAAACCAGAAAATTGTATCTGAACACTTCATACAAAGTGATCTCCACACTAGAAAATAAAATGCAGTTTTAAGTTTTCTCAGGAGAGAGTGGTAGGGTCCAAGCAAAACTTGTTCTTTAATAATAAGCTGTTGACATGCAAAATTGAGAGAGAGAGAGAGAGAGAGACACCAATGATTTTGGCTAAGCTGCTTTTCAACCTGCATCTCTTAAATACTAAATTCCAGGAACTTTCTGAACTAAGGACTATAACCTTCGTTCTTATGTCCTAACCCCTGTGTTGTCAGAGCTGTATAATATTACTGCAAAGGGTTATGATGGAGAGAAATATAGAATCAAACTAAATCAGAATGATTACGTATTCTAAATCATTGTATAGGTTTTGGTGGTGATAGGGTTAAGTATTAAAATGTCCAAGGTTTGAGCTTTCAGATCAGTAAAGTAATCTTTGGTTTGGGATTTATGTCAATAATGAAGTCTGTTACTCATCTATAAGTATGAGTACCTTGCTGCAAGGAGTGAAATTCTACTCTAATGCCCCTATTGCTGTTGTAGAGAGAGTAGTGAAGCCAGTGTGTCATCAAAACTGTGCGGCTCCTATGGGGAGATGGGATACAGTAGGACAGAAGGGAACAGAGAGAGTAGCTTTATATTGCTTTCTCCCTGGCAGTATTTCCAACAGGTGCTTAATGCTGCTCATTGCAACAACTACCGTTCCATGCCCTCGCAGCCCCTGTGTGGGGACACGGGTGAAAGTAGAGAACCAAGCATAGCATAACTTGTGCGTCAGCCATGCTACTAGGGGAGAGGGGAGTACTATGGCAATCCTGAGCTGTAAAGGGGTGGGGATGGAATTCTGTATGGCTATTTGGGATCTATTCAGGTCAAAGACATTGCTGCATTCCTGTCTGTCAGCCTATGAATCCTGCTTTTGCCAGGAGATAATGGCTAAGAGACATTGTGTGACTTTTTATATGGAGCTTCCCTAGTGTGATGAAGTAGGAATTGTCTGTAATAATTTTATGAATCCTAGGCAGGCCTCAGTTTCCCTCTGTACATTGCATTGCTACCCAGTAGGTGCAAAGGGTTTAACCCTGCTCTGAAACAACACAGGAGTTGTCAGGGGTAGGGGAGCAGGAAAAGAATAGTCACTTTTTTTTAAACTGTCTTGATCTGACCCAAATCAACAGAGGGACTGGAAGAAGGGGGCTTTTGGAGGGACTCAAGTGGCCAGACCAGAGAGGGCTCATCAGGGCACTAGTTTGACTAGGATAGACTATTGCTTAACTGCTGCCTCTGTGTGCTAACATAAGGACTTTCAGATTCTGTGTGCCAGGTAATAATAAACCGTTACCTTGTTTGAAAAGGCTCCCTGTGTTGCTGTGAGCATTGTGTCTTGAAGGGGCCGGCACAAGCCTCCCACCGGACTCTGGCTTGGTTGGATTTGCTGCAGGGAGCCAAGGAGAAAGACAGGGATTGCTGGTGCTGAGTCACGGAGGCCATGGACCTGCCTGTTTGGAACTGTGTAGGTCCTTGGGGCCTGGCCCATTAAAGGGGTCACTCCCTGGAGACTGGTTACAGGCTGGGGCATAGACCAGACCCTGTGACTCCATGGCACCTAATAATGTTCCCCCATCTCCCCAGAGAAGATAGTTGGGTCACACAAGAAAAAATGTCTACCGCATCAGAGCAAAGTTCTGAAAAATAGCGTCCACCACTCATGCAGCTCTTCATGGGTTTCTGTGCTGTACAAACACGATTGATATTTTTTATTTAATTTGCCAAGATGTTCACGGAAAGCAAAAGCACAGTTATAATCCTACATCATCATAACCCATATGTTTGAAGCCAGCTCTGTTCCAGTCATATCTGGATGCATCCCAAAATGGTAAGAAACATATCAACCTCCCTTAGTAAAAATACACCCACGTAAACTTACTTTGTCTGAAAAACCTCCCCCACTTCCCCTCCCCCAAAGTCAATCTAGCATTCTGATGAGGTGCATTAGAAAAACTGATGTTAGGAAGTTAGCTTTTTATATTCGCTGAGAACTGCTGTCGCACACTTTATTTGCAATTAGTTTTACGTAGGCTGCAGATCCCATTCGTATTCAGCAAATGTGTGACTAGTGGTAGTTCCATGAATATTGAAATGACCTATATTATTGCAGAAATCATAGTAACCTCTTCTCGTTATAAGGCCTTGTAACTTAATTTACTAAGCTATGTTAAGGAAAAAAAGCAAAGAGATCAGGTGAAGAAAACCAAGAAGAGATGTTAATCTATACGATTACACAATATGCTTATAAAAATGAAGACCATGCTATTTTATAGAGCCAAAGGACAGTAGGTAGTTTTTTTTAAATGTCCGTATCAAACCTGAAGACGTGAGAAAATCAATTAAAAACAAACAAAAAAAATGTAGCTATAAACAGGGTCACTGATAAAATCACTTGTATTTTGCATGCTAGGAGGAGCAAAATGCTACATAGGGTTTGCCTATTACAGTGGAAACATTTTTACTAATAAAGTTTATACTGTTGTTAGCTAGGTAGAGGGCTCCCTCTGTCTGGCATTCACTTGAAATATTTCATTAGCAAACATTTTTTCACCTGTGGTGAGGAATGACATATAATCAATGAGCAGCTTGTACTGCCTCATTACTTTTTTTTTCCTAGTGAGATTGTTTAGTACTGTAGTTTTTGTCATACTCACAAGGCAACTTCAATAAGATTACCGAAAATTTCAGGTAACCTCATAATGATCATGGAATTTAAGGACCCAAACCTGCAATCTTTGCTCAGGCAAAATGTCCATTACAATTAACGGGAGTTTTGCCTGTTGAGACAGCTCTGAGTAATGACTTTAGATTTGGCCCTGACGTTTTAGATATTTGGGCTTGGATACCTGCTAGGGTGAAATCCTGGCACTGTTGACTTCAGTGGAGATTTTGCCATTGACTTCAGCAAGTTCAGGATTTGACCCCTATCATCTAGTCCAGTCAATTTTCAACTGAGGCAACAAAACTGAAAAATGTGTCCGAGTACATTGTACAACAGTATGTGGAATTTGTGTCTGTATGTATAAAGTGAACTCACTAGAGTATAGCAAAGTGATAGATATGGAATTTCATAAATAATGTTAGTTGGCCAAAACAGAACCCTCTTTTATAGTACAGATCATAATTAGCACCTTATCAGTCTGAATTTCTGAGTTTGCCTCAAATGTTGATACCCTCTTGTTTTGGTTAATGAGCCATTCATACAGACTCTGATCATCAGTGATAATTGAACTCAGGAACTTCAGCAACATTCCTACCAAAGCACTTCTTTAGTTAAAGGTGTAACTGCATTAGCTGCGAGTGAGTGGCAGGCTGTTTCTGTTGCTGGGGATGGCTACTAGAGGCAGATACGAACACATGCTCTAAGTGTCTGCTCCTGTACCTGTTGAAGTCAGTGGCCAAACTCCCATTGATTTCCAAGGTGCGGGATCAGGTTCTTAGACACTGTAACGTATTTGCTAAGAGAGTTGTCCTGTGTCATTCTCAGCACATGCAGCTCTTCAGATTGGCTGGCAATGACCGTTTTCTTTCAGAAAAGGGACTCCTGTGTTTACAGGCCATCACATAACTTCACCAGCAGCCAAGAAGAAAGCTCCAGTGTTGTCTGTCTTTCCAAACCCATTTAAAATTAATATTCTCAAATGGGTTGGATAAATGGAGACATTAGCTATGCTGTCATTCATATTTGGTACACAGTCATAGCTAGATAGTTAATAAGTGCAATAACAAAATTGAAAAATGAGGCCAGGATATGCGTACTTCTGGGATGGTTGAAGGCATGCCCTTCAAACTCCTGCCTTGTGATTAATACCACAAATGCAGATGTGTACCACACTCCTTCTTGCGTTAATTCAATACCAACATTTTTGAAGATGGGGTCCATAGCAGATAAGGAAATTGCAGTAGAATTTTTAGGCTCTTGCTTGTGTCTCCACTCCTTGCATCTCATCATTTTCAGGCATTCCAGAGGCAGCAACTTCCTTAGAAGTAGAGTATTCATTGGCTGCATTAGCTTCTCTGCTTGGTGTAGCTGTGGCAACAGACTCATTTTCTTGGGTGGGTATATTAACATATTCGACATTTGCCTGTTGTTTCTGAGACATTGGTCTACAGGAAGGCAAGATGAGGGTTAGACTAGTTAATAACAAATTGAAATCCTCCCTATAATAGAGCCTCCCAAAAGGAACATCTTAGAAAACCCTGACCTAATGGCTATAGTATGATTGATTATATTACACACTAGCACCTAGAGCTCCCCATTGTACATAAAAGTATTACGATACAATGGCTGGAAGTTAAAGCCACACAAACTCTAATTAGACAGACTCCCAAGGGAAGTGGGAGATTCTTCATATCCTGAAGTCTTCACATCAAATCAAGGCTGGATGCTTTTCTGGAAGATATGCTTTAGTCAAGCACTTGGGCCCAGATTCACAAAGTCACTTAGGCACCTAAAACCCAGTTTTAGGCTGCACTGTGATCCACAACACTCATACTTGGCTGCTGCCTAACCCTGTAGGCACTTAAACCTACTGGGCACCTTAATTTTCATGGTAAAAGTTCCCCTAGGCATCTAAGTTTCTGCTTCTGGACATGCACACTGCTGCCTCACTCTAGGAGTCCAGATGCCTGTCTCCTGCATGAGCCTCAGCCCAATCCACGAATGGGAGGAAAACAGGTAGAGGAGCCTACAGGGGAGCCTCTGGCCTGCAGGGTGTGATCTGGTAGGCATGCTCAGAGGCCACCTACTGGATCAGTTTCCATTCACAATTCAGTTGGAGGGAGTGGTGATGCCACCCACCTTATAACTTTTAGCCAGTGCTTAGAGCATTCACTTGGGATATGGAAGACCCAGGTTCAATATCCACCTCTGACTCAGAGAGGAAAAGGATTTGATTAGGGTCTCCTACATCTCTCAGGAAAGTGCTCTAGCCACTGAGCGATGGGATATTTTGATGTGGGACTCCCTCAATCTCTCCTGTTGAAGCTATAATGAGAGAGAGACAAGGTGGGTGAGGTATTAGCTGCATTATTGTCAGGTTTTTAAACAGGAGGGAGAAGAAAAAGAATAGAATAATACCTCACCCACCTTGTCTCTCTGATATCCTGGGATCAACACAGGTACACCAACACTGCAAGAAGCTATAAATAACAGTTTCAAAGTGAGACAAAAATAAATAGTCTTACTTTGTAAATGTTATTGCACCATATTTGACTTAGTTCCAAAGAAACGTTTGCGGTAGTTTTGGTTTTGGATCCATCTTGACCATCTCTATTGAGGGGGTTGGTCAGGAAATGTTTGTCTTACAATCAAGCAAACAAAAATTCTTACTGCATTTCACTATTTGCTGCTTTCTCTTTTGTCTCCTTTTTCTTCTCCCTCTTGGTTAAAAACCAGACAATAATGCAGATAACAACTGCTCCCAGAATTGCTCCAATTAATGCTCCAGCAATGAGACCACCTTCTGAATCTGGAAAAATATGTGCACAGTGTTAATTTTAAAAAGCCACCAGTATAGAGATAATCCCATTGAAGGGGTACCAGATGGAAAGAAGATATTGGGCTCAAAGAGCTGAGAACTAAAATCCATGCTTTCAGGAAAGGGGGAGTCAGGCTTTCACTATTCTTTGCCTCCCTGCTTCTTGCTAGGTGGCACTATATTGCTAGCTGTTCTCTACCCAAGCAGACGGAGAGAGAAGTGGGAGGCTCAACAAACCTAAATAATCCATTCCCCACTTTTATGACTGGCTACAGGAGAGAGAAGATGTTTGCTGTTCGACAATATGGAGGGCTGTTTGGCTCTTCAACCCTTACAAACAAGATTTTAATTCTGGATAGCCTCTATCTCCCATTCTCTGTTGAGATATAAAATGCAAGCCCTGCCTGTCTGTGATCGCTAAGGATCCTAGGTCATTTTCATGGGTGTTAGCCTGGTGTCCTATCCAAGTTCCAATTCACATCGTTACAGTCTATCTACCAACATCTCTCTGGTAGTTTCATTTGAGCAAGGCAATTTTTTTATTTTACAGACCACTTAAGAGAGAAATTATCTCAAGGACCCACCCCAAGCCCCTGTTGCTCCGTTCTCAGAACATTTAATTCTACTGACTAACAGGTAAGATCACACAGAGCTCTGATAGTCCACAGGCTGAGAACAATAGGGGTAAGGTACTCTTCTTTCTTTCCAGCCTAATGTTGCACTATTAAACAGCTGCAACACTCCACTCTATAGACTGGAGCATTTCAATGGTGTTTGTAAAGTGTTCTAGGCCCCATTGGGATTGTGAGCTTGAAGTCAATAGACCTAAGGCCTGGATCTGGTTGCTCAAAGCCAATTAGAGACTCATGTTTAGATCCAGAGGTCCAAGTTTCAATCCCCACTGCTGACAAACCACCCAGGGATGGAGAATTACAAAGTGGCGATCCATGCAGAGATTTGAAATGGGTGGATCTCCCTAGATAGGAGGTGTGTATAACTCAGGATGCTTACTCAGTGTGGCTCTGTGTCCCCCTCTACTGACTGAACCACATAAAGGTTTGTGAGGCTGCTACAGCCTTCCATCTAACAGAGCTAGGTTTATCAGTTAACTCATACTATAGAAGCTCGTGGTTATAGATCCAGAGGTTCTGGATTCAAATCCCTGCTGCTGACAACCCAGTCCAGGGTGTGGTGTTATATTGGCATTTGTATAGTGTATTAGCTATTTAAAGTAGTTTAGGAACATTAACTAATTAAGCCTCACAACACTCCTGTGAGATATGTTGCTAAGTATACATTAGTACGCCCATTTTACAGAAGGAAGATGGAGGCAGAGAGGTTAAATGACTTTCCCAAAGCCACGCAAGGCCCAGTTGAGTTGAGAACTGAGGACCTCCTGACCACCAACCCAATTCTTATTCCAAAACAATCTACCTTTAAAAAAATGTTAACTCTTTTTGTCGTTCTGATTATGCTGTATGTAAAGCATATTTTATTCCATTCATATGATGAACTCACGTGCTGCAGACAAGTCAACTTCACAGCTGCTGTTTCCAAGGCTGTTACTAGCTGTGCACCGGTAGTATCCAGTTTCAAAGGTGGTGAGATTACCAATAATGAAAAGCCCAGTTTTTGTATCTGTGACAAATGGAAAACATACGAACATGCATGTTTATATACTATATGGGTAATTACTTGTATTTACTGAATAAGAATCATGATTAGTACAAGGCATGGGAGGTTGTATTGTAAATTTTGCAGCATTTAAATAAAGGGATTTCCTTAAAAACAAATCTATTTAGAACCATTTATCTTCTTTGAAAACAATTGTTCCAACATTTTACAGAGAACTCTGCAGCATCACATTAAGTGTATGAGAACCAGGTCCCCTATCCTGCAAACACAGAAGGATGTAATTTTACTCATTTGGGTAATACCATTGAAGCCAATGGGATCTCTGCAGGTGTAAAGTTATGCACATGCTTAAGTGTTTTCACAATGGGGGCTGTCATAAATATAAAGGGAAGGCTAACCACCTTTAAATCCCTCCTGGCCAGAGGAAAAACCCTTTCACCTGTAAAGGGTTAAGAAGCTAAGATAACCTCACTGGCACCTGACCAAAATGACCAATGAGGAAACAAGATACTCTCTGTCTGTGTGATGCAGGGGCCTAGAAAACAAAACTACAATTTGAGTTCCATTGAGTATAAGGTTAGTATAAATTTGCGTCTCACTCACTCCAAGGTGAGTGAGATTACAAAAAAAAAAAAAAAAATCAGTAAATTAGATTGTTGTAGTTCTTTTCATTTTAATGCGCTGAGGTGTCATTACTATCACAGGTAGGAATTTTTTTTTTTTTACATAATTATCTTCTCTGAGGCCAGCAGCATTATATATTGTAAAATCAACAAAACCAGGCTAATGATTTATGTAATGGCTGTTAGTAAGTTTTGATAGGTTAAAAATAAATTCAATCCACATTATTGCACACAAAGGGGGGAAATGCATTCTTTTCTATATTGACTAGAATATTGACGGCATGGTTCAAGCCATCACACTCTAGGTCTTGCACGTTACACACTAGTACTGAGGAAGTTACTCACTGAGTTGTTCTGTCATGGGTTTGAGGGTCTCCCCTGATACTCTATACCACTGGTATGTAGGCGCAGGCATCCCTTCTTCAGAATAGCAGGAGAGAGAGACAAGGTGGCCTGTCTCAGGGGTTCCCCGTAAGCTACAGTGAGGCTGCGAAGGTTTGACTGTAAAATAACAGCAGGAAAAATAGTTAGACCATGGGTACAAATTCTGGGCCAAAATCTTGCTAGACCAAATTCTACTTTGTTACACTGGTGTAAATAATCTATTGACTTTGGTGATGTTGTTTTAGATTTCCACCAGTATAACAAATCAGATCCTGGCCCAGTAGTCTGACCACAATCTCTCCCACATAGACATGAGCAGCAATAAAGAAAAGTGAACAGTCAGGGGAAAACTCTTACTGCCTTTCATGGTGTTTATCCTACTAAATACTTTTATAAAGGCTGTAAGGTATTACTTCTTGATAGAAAAGACTATCAGTTATTTCAATTATATTACGAGTGTCACTTTTCATCCCAGTCAAATCACTTTCTGTCTCATGGGATTGTAATTTATGGTGTAAGTGGGTCTATTCCATATGAGTGCAAAGATCTATATAGCCTGATTCTTCACTGCTTGGCACCTGTAGAGTCATTGGCACCTGTGCAAAATGCTACCTTTCTGTTTTGGTACTCAGCCATATCCTACTCTGAGCTACACCTGTGTTTGTGTTTGCTTGCTCACGTCACCCATTTAACACAATTTAAACATATTGTTGTGGGCCTCTTCTGTAACTCCACTGCAGTGGAATTACACCAGTGATTAATCTGGCCCAGTTTTTGCATGTATAAGTACAAGCAGTGATGCTTGCTTTTCTAGGGAAAACAGCAATCCCATTTTTCAAGCTTTGAGTCAAACTCATATATGCTCTTGTTTATTATTCTGCTGCAGAGTAACTGCTGTTTGGTTTGTTTTTCAGGATGGTTTTAATATCTGTGCTTTGAAAATTTGTTTCTTCCAGTGGATTTATCTCCATTTGCCTTTAATTGTCTCTTCTGTACAGACAAATGACACAGTTGGAGCCATTTTCACATATGCAGTGACTTCTCCCTCTAATCAACTATCCAGAGAGTATGTGGATAGTTGTTAGATGGGGTTAGTATTAACATTTATCTTGTTAGCAAGTAAAATTTTTCTTCTCTCATTGCTTTTCATACTTGTTCAACTATCTGTTCAGGGTTGAACTATTGCTTTCTTTCAGCTGATGTGTACTCTGTACACACCACAGAACAGAGAGCTACATTGATTAGACTTTTTAATAGAGAGGCAGCATTTGGACTGTTTATGGAACCAGGACTTCTGGATTTTACTGCTGGCTCCACCAATGACTATCTGTGTGTCCTTAGGCAAGTTGCAGTGGGGGAGGTTTAGATTGGATATTAGGAAAAACTTTTTCACTATGAGGGTGGTGAAACACTGGAATGCGTTACCTAGGGAGGTGGTAGAATCTCCTTCCTTAGAGGTTTTTAAGGTCAAGCTTGACAAAGCCCTGGCTGGGATGATTTAACTGGGAATTGGTCCTGCTTTGAGCAGTGGGTTGGACTAGATGACCTTCTGGGGTCCCTTCCAACCCTGATATTCTATGATTCTAAGTTACTATGGCCAGCATTTTCAGATTTGGGGGCCTAAAACTATATCAAAAAGTGGCCTGCTTTTCACAGCTGCTTTAGGCTTCCAAATTTTAAAACGTTGGGCTCCGCCTTAAAGCCTAGGCCAGCAATCCTAGCTCAGGTAATGTTTTCAGGGTGTGGTTGTGGTTCCCAACTAAAAGTGTGTTTTAATTACTACCCAGTGAAGCTGGGTAGTAACAGCTACCAAAGGGACGTATATTTCTCTGGCCATTATAATAGGTGGCTCTATAATGCAGCAAGGTTTACATGGAGGACTCCCATGGCGACTCAGATTTTACTGGCCATTACGACAGGTGAGTGTAGTTATTAGTTGAGCAAAGGTTTCAGCATAAACATGTCACCCTGTTCACTAGGGATGAGAAATGTTCCACAGGCAATGTAGTCAGCAGTCCTTTCCATGATTGCTTCATCCAGGCCAGGACGAAGAGGGTGGGTCTACATGCAGCTGGGAGTGAACCTCCCGAAAGCCTGAAGTCCAGCCCAAGCCACAATGTCCATACGGACAGGTTTCAGACCATACTGCTATTTTTAGCATGCCATCTTGAGCCCCTCTGGCACGAATCTGTCTACCTGCTCTGAGAGGCTTACTCCCAGCTGCAGTGTAGACATACCCATCACATGAGGCAGCACGGGTGCTGTTTGTCTGGGAGGTGGAGAATACCACTGGCTCTGTCTGTGTCCAGCAGCCCGGAAAAAGAATCTTTCTATCAATTAAAATAAGTCCTGTTTCTTTACCATGATAGTTACTGCATCGCACAGCTCCAGGGGGCCCACTGCACTAACTGACCAAAAGATGCCAATGTTCACATCCACTCCCCATTACATTATTCTCTTGGGTACCCTGTGGTGCATTTTTGAATCCCAATTCAACACTATGTGATAAAAACACAATGCAAAATAAATTACCCAGTACACTGACAGCCACTGATTTCTGGTTCCGTCCATTTGAATCTTGTGGGTTGAAAACTTCGCAGGTATAGAACCCGGTGTCCGAGGGCTGCATGTTGGAGATTGTTATTGATGCATTTCCTTGGTTTGTTGTCCCATTTATTCTGTTCTTGAACTCTCCATATTCATAAGCCTGTCCATTCTGAAAATAATAGATCTGTGACACAAAACAGATCGTTAGTTAACTAAGAAGTAAGCTAATTGCATTTTGTTTGATGTTGCTATGTCAAATACAAAGAAATTTCAAAAGAAGAAAAGCCATCTTATGCCCAATTCCCTGTAAAGAAAGCTGTGATTAAAACCATGCTGTACATTGCAATCTAAATTTCTAATCATATTCTTAGATGATAAGCTCCTCAGGGCAGGGACTGGGTCATTCTGGGTGTGTGTCCAGTAGCTAATACACTGTGGAAACTGCAGAAATAGAGTGGGATATTTGGGAAAGGCATATTTTCTTTACAAGAAACCAACTGCCAGGCAAGATTATGGACCATTATGTTACACACCTAAGCAATAAAGCTAAGTTATGTACTATTAACAGAAGGGCTAATTAGAGGGCAAATTATTTGTAATGTAACTGATAATACGTCCTGTTACAAGATTATCATGTATGGCCAGTACAAGATTATCATAAGAAATGGAATTGCCATTGCAAAGAAAAATGGATATTTGCAGGGTTATGCAGGGTTAGTGAAACTCTGCTTTCTAAATGAAAGTGTAAGCAAGCAGTAAAAGAGATGAAGTGCATCTAATTAAAGATGGCTAAGACTGGCTAATTCAGAAAGACAAAACACAAGGGTAAGCAAACCAGAGACCAGCTATGTTTGCAGTAAATGTGGAGGCAATCACAATACAGGGCAGAGGTGTCTACCACAAGCCATTGGAGTGCCATACATACAATAAAAATACTAGACATGCAATCAAAATGTTTCCATCCCCATCAGTGTCATGCAGGGGTGGGGCTATTATCAGAGACGCTCAGGCAGGCCCCAGCTCTTTCCTTTTCCCAATATGCTGTAGGGATGTAAGTCAGGAGTAACTTCTCCATCTAATGGGAAATTATTGACATATTGGGCACATTGTGGGGATTTGCATCTGTCTTTCAAACATCCAGCATCTTCCCTCAAATAAGAGACTTACTGTTGTACATTCAGATGAGCTCTATTGCCGTTAGTAGTGTTACTCCTGATTTATAGCAATGTGAAAACCAGAGTGGCTTCTATAGACTTATGGACTGAACTTGCTCCCATAAAAGTCTATAGCAAAACCTCCATTGATTCGAATGAAATGTAGAACTGGGCCCATTGTGGATGGTAGTGGTTTGAACCTTAGGCCTTCAGTCTATCTAGGACTACTGATATCTCAGACCCCATGGTGATGGGTTTGGTTCAGGAATGTAAAAAGTTCTGATAGACTAGTCACACTCAGCCCTGTTTAGTTCTATTATAAAACAGTGTACTGAAAAAAATCAACTTCTATGAAAGACATATTGAAACAGTTGCCATTTTTATCCAGAGTTTAACAATAATACTCCTGCATAACAGTGCTACAGCTTGGAATTTGTAGTGCTCTACTCTATGCCTGCTTTGATAAATGCTGTCCCATGACTAATTGGCAATGTACAACTTGACGTGCTCTTCTCGTAAACAATGTGCTCCAGGCATAATGAGCTGATCCATTGTTTTAGTGGGTCTTCCCATGGTAGTCAGCAATATTAATATGTCCAGGATTAATATGTCCAATATGTTTACAGGATTGGGTCCTTAATTAGTATAGCATCTTTCATATCAACTGTGTTTCAGGAACAATGATATAATAATATTTGTCACTGCTGGACTGACAGTTGGCTTATTACAAGAGGTGGTTGAAAAGTGTGTGAGGGGAAGTTTCACAAATTTTGGTCAAGTTCCATTTGCTTCTGACTCATCAAAATTTTATTTTGTCAAAGATTTCCAGTCAGCTTTAGTTCATGCTATGAATCCCCACCCCCCAGACAATAAGCACAGTTCCATTTGCCTTGCAGATCCGTAGATTGCATTTTGAAGAAAAAATAAACACTTGTGCACCCTGACGCAGTGTTGACTGAAGTCTTTAATCAATGTTATCTGGATGTCTTTGTTAGCTTAAGGCAAGCTACACCCCAAAACTGCCAACGTACAGTTGGTTAATACAATGATAAGATTTTTCAATGAAGGTCAAAACCCAGGCTGTGTACCTGCTGTGCTATAGCAGCTACTGTATTCCCACAGCATGGCACTATCATAAATGCACCAACATCTTCATTCTAGCTATGAAGAGGGATAAAAACACATTAAGGGTGAAATCCTGGCCTCACTGAAGTCAGTGGGGGACAGGATTTTACCCTGAGGGTGTTTATTTTTCCCTCAGAATACATCTAGAACCTGTAGCATTGTCAGGCAGAGAACAGAACTCAAAATGTGAGTTAAAATAGACCACAGCTTTTCCTGCCATTGATTCTGCCAAACTTTACTCTCTCAACCATCCCAGGCAGGAATAACACCAAGTGAGCTGTAGCTCACGAAAGCTCATGCTCAAATAAATTGGTTAGTCTCTAAGGTGCCACAAGTACTCCTTTTCTTTTTGCGAATACAGACTAACACGGCTGTTCCTCTGAAACTATGTACAATAACACTATGTTGGGGGAGTTATAGCTCAGTGGTTTGAGCATTAGCCTGCTAAACCCAGGGATGTGCATTCAATCCTTGAGGGGGCCATTTAGGGATCTGGGGCAAAAATTGGGGATTGGTCCTGCTTTGAGCAGGGGGTTGGACTAGATGACCTCCTGAGGTCCCTTCCAACCCTGATATTCTATGATAGAAAGCTTTGATGTTAAAGCAGCTGCAGGTGTGCCCCTTATCAGGAAGTTAATTGGGTAGGAGATGAGCTCAAATGGGAGTATAGCTGTGGGAGAAGGGGTGGGTAGGGAGAAGAGAAAAGTGAGCGCTGAGCTCTAATAATATGCTATAATATTAGACAAGCTGAGCTTTGCTGATCTACACCTCAGTCTTTATTACTCACATAGGCCCAGACGCTCAAAGGTATTTAGGTGACTAAACACCTATGAAGATCTGGGCCATTATCTATGCAAATAATGACAGGTTTCAGAGGAACAGCCGTGTTAGTCTGTATTCGCAAAAAGAAAAGGAGTACTTGTGGCACCTTAGAGACTAACCAATTTATTTGAGCATGAGCTTTCGTGAGCTACAGCTGAAGTGAGCTGTAGCTCACGAAAGCTCATGCTCAAATAAATTGGTTAGTCTCTAAGGTGCCACAAGTACTCCTTTTCTTTATGCAAATAATGTTTTTCTTTGTTTCTATGGTTAACTGATGAGGTGAGCTGCGGTCACTAAGATTAATGCAGGAATTGTTTTATTGCAACAGACTAATGAGGCATCTAGTGTGACATTGAATAGCGGATGCTTCAAAGGTAGATTTTAAATGGTCATTACATACCTATGTTTGCAGTACTGTGTCATGGGAGGGGAAGTTCTTCCTGACTACACGTGTATCCGCTGAAGTATAAGCATTGACTGCTGCTCTTTCCTCTTAGCTAGTATACCTGTAGATGCTCTTATTCATATATGTGAGATAAGAATTGAAAACTCTTTTCGATACATCTCTCTCTCCACAAACCACTGGTGCATATATCGTATAAATCATTCTGGCCTCTATTTTTGCTGCATATTTAATTACTGTACTTGCTTAGAACCTACTACAGCTCCTCAAAATATATTTACAGGTCAAGGTTACAACAGAACACAGATACTTTTGACACATCTGCCTTGCAGTGTCACTCAATAGCCTCAGAAGAAAGGTGGAGCATGCATAAACTTGAATCTACTTTCATTCATACCTGTCTCACACCAGAGTCATGCCACTGAATTTGGAGTCTCTCCTGATTAACACCAATGTAACAGAGTAGGGTGTATATGGGGTGAGCTCAAAAGGTATCACCTCTGAGTAGCTGGCATGCTAAACCTATTGGGTAGCTAGCGGCAACAACTGCTAGTGAATGGGCACGCTTGGCTCTCAAGTGTATGAAATCTCCTACAGTGAAACCAGCAAACCAAGTTCCAAAGGATAATATTGGCAGAAACAGTACAGGAGCAAGCTAGTGGATAGCTCAGAGCACTGTTACAGTCAGATTACAATATGCTGGTCAACCACAAAGCCAAGGAGTTGTGGTTGAACACTTGGTGAATATTAGACCACACAAACTGAATGAAAAATGGAAAGAGAAACAAAAGTAAGCTGGCTTGGTTGTTGCCCAGACAAACCAGGGCTGTGTTCACTGCTCAGAAATTGAATTGGGGGTGAAAAGGATGTGATCAGAACAAACATAGCTACATGCAGAACAGGGAATTACGTAATGGACTCAAAAGGAGGAGACATTTATCGGAACATGGAATGTAAGAACATTATACCAGGCTGGAGCACCTTGCACTAATAATGCATGAGTTGATAAGATATGAGTGGGAAATTGTCAGTCTATGCAAAATGAGATAGGAATGCAAAGGAGAATTCTACTACAATGAACACAGGATATTGACATTGGGAAGAGAAGATGGTGGATGCTGGGACAAAGTCACATTGGTGCCAAAGCCAATGGCAAACCAGGCTCTTATGGCATTTAAGATGATATCTCCTTGTACGTTGAAGGCAGGATTCAGAATCAAATCCTGTGCAGTCTCAATAGTACAAGTATATTCATTCACCTCAGCAGCACTCAGGAAGAAACTGACAAATTTTATAATAATCTACAGAAAGCAATACTAATCGTTTCAAGACAGACATTATTGGTGATAGGAGATTTTAATCCGAAAGTAGGTTCGGCCTAGAATTCCTGGGCTGGAGCAGTGGTCAGATTTGGACTTGAAGAAAATTAAAAAGAAGAGCTATTAAATTTCTGCCTAAGGAACAACCTGGTGATAACCAACAAGCTATTTCAGCAAATAAAGATGCAGAGGAAGTGGACGTGGATATTACCTGATGGGCAAATGAAGAACATGACTGAATTTATGTTTGTGACTCGCAGATAGAAATTGAGTGTGTTGTCATGCCGATCATTTGTGCTAATATCAGATTGGATCATAAATTAGTGCTGGCGTCAATAAGGTTGAGGTTGGGAGCAACCAA